CGCGCGACATCGACCAGCTAGAAACAGGATATTTTTCTATGGCACGGCACGAAATTTGATTATACGTCCGCATCAATTGGGCAATGTCCCCGGCACTTAAATCGAAGACGGTTTTCTGAACGATAAAATCGACGACGCTGCGACCGCGCGCGGCCCTCGACTTTATTGGCCGGTTGCAGACCGCTGATAACACAAGCTTGTGCTAACACCGTAAAACGTATCCCATCGTGGCTGCGCGGAGCCACGTTTCGATCATAAGCGAACGAACGGCTCAAGAAGCGATAGAAGCAATTCCGAGGCAGGAATATATGCGGCCTGATATTGCGACTGATTAATCGCAACTGGGAAGCAGTTGTTACGTATTTATAGCGCGGCGGGCTCGGTTATTTTTGAGGTTCGATAAAGCTTCCGGGCTGCTTTCACCTGGAACGAGTCACTTCGCCCCGGTTGAAGTCGTTTTCTATGTAATACCGGTGTTTTTTTTTTCTTTTTCGTATTAATCAATGAAGACGCGAATCTGCATAAACGTAAGCGGTGTAACGGCGGCTATGAGCTTTATCGCGGCAGAGTTTTTATACAGTCGTTGCGAGTAATGCTAGTTATTAAATCCCTGGGCGACACGGAGAACTAAGTGGCTATTTCGTTTTCTTGAACACTTCCGTTTTATCTTGGGCGTGGAAAATTGAAACGGTCGCGACAGAGAGGCTGTTGCGTGTCGGTAACTGATGGTAAAATAGTACTTCGAGATAGGTGATCAATTAACGTAGGAAATTTCTCGTAAAATGTATGTTGAAGCGACCTTACAGAAAATTATTATATTTATCGTGCATTTTCACAATTTTAAGAATTTTATAATTTTATTAATTAAGAATTTATGAATTAAGATTTTTGATAACACCGGCGACGCAAAAGCTGTCACGCGAGTATAGTTATAAGAGAGTTAGAAGAATATACAAAATGATAATAAATAATAAGAAAAATAAATATATAATAATAATAAATAAGAAGAAGAAGAAGAAGAAGAAGAAAGTAAGAAAGATGATAATAATAATAATACTAATAATAATAATAAGAGAGTAAGAAAGACATCAATACAAATGCAACAAAACAGAATACAGAACAAAAATGATAGCAATGGTGAAAATAATAATAGATGTAAGGAAATATGAAAGATGAGAAGATTAGAAAAAAAAATAAGAGTATCCGTAAGTGATTTGCGACGATCAGTGAACGGTTTAAACAATTTTGATAACAATAGAGCGTACGGTGTGATTCGGAACAAGAAATAGATTACACGTAGTTCGCCTAATATTGCTAATATAATTAATACAATAATTAAGTCTATCCAAGAACTTGCAACGACCACACGCAATATCGCATTTGTCTGCTTCATCCGTCAACTAGGAAGACGAATCTTTGAGTAGAGCGATTTCTACGTAACAGAATTGCGTTCGATCTTGTAATGGCACGTCGATAAAAACGTGGAATGAGACCGGAGCTTAACGCATAAATTATGTGGCATACGTTGAACGCCTTAATTTATTACTGAATTACGTGCAATTTAAATGCCCCGCGTCGATCACGTGTACGTATGTAGCCTGGCCGAGAATCGATTTACGCAAACTGCCAGCGATGCACGTGCATAAATTCATAATTGGAGTTTTGACCTGGAAAGAATGTTTCGAACAAATAAAACACTTAGCGCAAAATCGATTTTTCAACCTCATTCGTTCGTTCGCGCCTTGTTACATTACGCAAACGCGTGTTTGAAATTGACGTTTGCGAAAGAGTAAAGTCTAATATAATTTTTAGACGATAACTTTGATCGCCGATAACGACGTTGACAATTTCGTTATTACACATTTATTGATTTTCACATTATTATATGAAATTACTTTGTTTCAGCGAGTCGATCAAAGCGAGAATTGCTTCGCGTAACGATGCGATAATCGATTATTTTTACCATAAGTTGAAATAATAAATAGCATTAATGAAGCGAATAGAATGCCGCAAGATTCTTTGGGTACTAAAATCTGCAATTCCAGTCATTTTCTGTTTGATTACAAAGCACGCACAACAAGTTTAACAGTTCTACATAGATATCTCTCCTCGACTTCATCAGTTCAAAGAGATTATAATATCCTTTCGGAATATTCTTTCGGCTCTTATCCAGTGCCCGTGTTTCCAGTAACATCTTCCGATCAATTTTAATTCAAAGCCTTCGTAAGCTTATATTTAATAACCTAATACGGTAATTTCTCGCTAATTCGCGCTCAGATTGCGCACAAAAATAAACAATTTAGGAAGAGGAGATACGATTATTCGAGCCTTGCGTCTCGTTTTCATAATCGATGAAAAAGCCAAAGCCTTCAACGAGTTAATTTATTGGTATCGATTAAATATTTTCACTGGATTTTCTATAGCTCAGTATAATTCGTGGTTCGGCTTTTTCGTTGATCAGAGCGTGGTTATAAATAAAAAGTTAATAACGAACCGGAAGCCAGACAGGAGTTAATGCTCATCCGAAACTCCAGCCGAAGTTCATAGTGTTCCTATTAGGTTCGAAGGCTCACAGACATCTTCGACGTAAGACGCTTTCATCTAAGTGGCGTGATAACACTCGTGACTGGAATTCCCTTAAATATTTGGTAGAATATTGAGGGATGTGCATTTCGCGTGCTTGTTGCTTTTCTAACTTCGAACCGACGTCTGCGTGCTTCGAATACCACGTTCCCTGCAGAAAATTTTGGTTTAATGTCGTCCTAAAACCCGCAGCTACCAGCTGGCTGTAATTCCGAGGCATGATCAAGCTTAAGAAGGTATTTTGTATTAGCAACTGTCAAAAAATCTCTAAAAATAGAGTACAGTTTTCTGTATTTTGGTGTCGCAAGTAAAAAAATAGAAACATTATTTTTCTAAATTGAACACTTCGATAATCAAGCGCACAGAAAAATGACACAATTACGCAAAAACGAACTCCCTTTAAAATACAGGAAAAAAGGTAGAAAAATAGAGAAAACTAAAAACTTAATTTTCCTTTTTACTGTATTTAACAATTTGGTAAATGAACGCACAGAAAATCTACGTTCGTCGGAAATGAACTTTCTATTCAATTTTATACGCGATCGGAAAATGCAGAGAACTGTTCTGCATCTTTAAAGTATGTGTTGATATTAACATCTCTTCATAGTAACGGTTTTATGAATAAACGCATCGAAATAGTTCGAAATTTCTTAAATTGTATAAATTACTGTGCATTATAATATCGAGACGTAAGAAGCAGCGATGGGTGACGCTGATAGGAGACGTGTTAAATAAATGGTATTTTTTGATATTTGGGTAAGATTAATAAGACCGTAGGGAAGATCTATTTTAATAATAGCGCTGCGTAAAATATTTGGGGTTTTTCGTATACTTTCTCCTCGGCGAGGACGTCAATATTCATAAAAGGACCCAGAAGATGCTCTACAGGGAAGCACTTTTATCTGAGCATCGTGACCAGAATGTTTGTGCCGTTCGCTTCCAATATCGAAGATCACGCGGTTAAAGCTAAGTATATTACATCTAGTGAAATTCAAGCTGGATATTTTATACCTCGCAGTGCTCTGTCTATGAAGCGAGTGATACCAACAGATCTAGTGCAATCTGTTAACGCTCTGAAATATTTATAATTTAATACCGCGCGACAATTTTTATATTCTTACATTTTTGAAAAAAAAGAAATCTCGCGAATGTAAAATCGAAAACGTTGCAACAGCTCTGATATATCCATTGCAATATTCAGACGTTTTACTCAATTTTTCTACGAACATAACTACAGCCACGAAATTTCATAACCGAAGATTAGTTTCTGAAAATGAATCAGAGATCGAATAGAAAATTAAGCAATTCGTAGGCTTGTTAAATTATTTCTCGAGAAGCAATTAATTAAATTGTTCGTTCCTGTGCGTGGCTAGTTGACGAAGCGAATTCATAAATGAATTAAGCTGGCCGAACAATTCGCCTAAGTTAATTTGCCGGAGAAAATAAAAAGAACTTCTGTAATTTCGGCTACGTTTTATTGTAAACAGGGCACAGACGCTGGCCCGAAACGCAAGTGCAGGACGCAAGTGCAGGTGCAAAGGCTGAATTCAGAATTCAATTACTCGCTGACGGGAATACGTCCTCTATTCATACTAATTTGCCTCGTCTGTGTTTAGTTAACGCATCCTAATTCTGTTTCACCGAACTCGATTATTTTGGAGGCATGAAAAAAAGTTGAGGGTCAGCGGAAAAAATCGGGCAGGGATTAATAAGTGTTTTTTTTTAATTTGTTCGTTTCAATATTTGATGTTAATGGTACAAATTGCTCGTTATAAAAGATAACGATAACAACGACTATTTCGAGAGAAAACTAATTAAAGAGATCGATAAATTAGTTACGGATCAAAATGATAAGCAATTGGAGCATCGGCCACTTGAAGAGAGTACCAATCCTTAATTAGACTGCGGATTTTATGCGTTTAAATAATGAGATTCGAAAAGTCTATAAATATTGTTACATCTTCGATTTATTCAGATCATCAATAGAAGAGACAAACGCTTTCTAAAATCAATTGCATGAAGCAGAAATTAAATACAAATATTTCTGTTAACACTTTGCACTCGAAGCCATTTTAACTGTAAATCTAAATTAATTTTTCTGACTTATGGTATTCCCATTTTATGTGACAAAGTACAATTTTTATGCATATGAAATTGAATCTTGTGATTCATACAACAATTAGACTTTTAACAATTTTTTATATCTAAACTTTGATAATATAAATATTATCTTGGAACGTGATGCAACAATTTTTGTGGTGTCTCAGAGTCACCACTCGAGTGCAAAGGGTTAATAATTTGGAATGAATCGAAACGATGTATATAACATGCTAAATTCTACATAAAGATGCGCAGTCTAAATGTTCCGTAAACTGCACAAAAATCAAGTAATCGTTCCTCTTTTCCGCTCGTTACAGGTGGACACGCCAGACAGCGTATTGCAGAGCGGTTTGGGTTTAAGAAAAGATATGGGGAACACGATTCTACGTTCTATGGTAGATCCCAAAGATTACGACCGACTAAGATGCCTGCAGATGAACGGCAGTCAGCCGAACAGCTTCGAGGAGACTATACACAGGGTATGATTTCATTGCTAAATTAAAGTAAACATTATAGATCGTGTTCTTGATGCTGCTGCCTAGACGAATAAATATTGATGCATCTCGTTGCGTACACAGCAGAATCTTGATCCTACAATCTGGCTAACAGATAAGCTTTTCGGATAATTGGACGACGAATATTTCTTCCACATATATGAATGCATAGTAATAACAATTTAATTCTAACACAATAATTTAAAATATTTTATTGTCGTCGAAGTATCAACAATTTCATTTAATTTGGAATCAACGAGCAACAAAGATTCGATTTTAATTTTAATTCGCATGATCCTGAATGTTTCAAAAAAATGCTAAAAAATATTATATTTGACACTGTGCATTGGGAGCAATTAATTAATATGTTTCACTTTGGAAGTAGAAAATTTTTATTTTAATTTTAATTCGCATAATTCTAGATGTTTCAAAAAAATGCTAAATAATATTATATTTAACACTGTGCATTGGGAGCAATTAATTAATATGTTTCACTTTGGAAGTAGAAAATTTTTATTTTAATTTTAATTCGCATGATCCTGAATGTTTCAAAAGAATGCTAAAAAAACATTATATTCGCCACTGTGCATCGGGAGCAATCAATTAATATGTTTCACTTTGGAAGTAGAAAATGTTTATTTTAATTTTAATCTCGCATGATCCTAAATGTTTCAAAAGAATGCTAAAAAAATTATATTTGACGCTGTGCATCGGGAGCAATTAATTAATATGTTTCACTTTGGAAGTAGAACATTTTTATTTT